TGCGTTAGTGCGTCCCACGAAACACCCCCGCTGCGGGGGCCAAAAATCGGCAGAACAAAACGCGCTCGGTGGGCATTGCTATATATAAATGTCTATGGAGTTAGGCCGGGACCACTTCTCCCGAAGAGTGCCCTTATGTATTTAGATTCTATTCAGACAGACATCAAAGAATAAATTCTAGTAAATATTACTATAAACTATAAGTATAAGCACATGGTAACCATGGTAACCAAGCAAACATTCAACATATTTTATTGGATAATTTCATCAAATTTCAAAAGCTATCTTCTCTCTGTTTTCGTCCGTTGGCTTTCATTTTTAGCAAGTAGGCCTACACTACATCCTATGGCGATTTTTCTGTAGTCTCTCTCCTCCCCCCCCCAACCCCACCCCAATTATTATTCGCCGGTTTTGGCCCCACGAATAGGGAGGTTTCAGGGGGGGCTTGCAACATGCTCTTAAAAGTTTCATTTTGACTACCTGTCTTACACTGGCTATACTCAGCTGTAGACCTAAGTAGATGTCCACTACATGGTCTCAATGTGGACAGCTTTGTTGCTAGATTCTACTTCTGCAAGCAAGACATTGTGGTATATTTTTGTGTTTCCCGTGCAGAGTATGGGGCGTACGGCCAGCAGCAGCAAGCTGGACAGCAAGCCCAAGGAGGGTGAGTGAACAGAGGAACAAAAATGTCCTCACTGACTTTGGCTCATTTGTTTGAGAAGCCCACATACTTTTTCTTTTTGTGGGGTCTAAGCCTACCTAAAGCATCATGTAGGTATTCAATTTTTACCCGTTTTACTGGATCACATCATGTAGATTCCAGCTTTTGTACAGTTTAGTTTTGGTAAATGAGGCACTTGGTACCTTGAAAGGGCCCAAGGAAAAAAAATATTGAAGCTCTGTTAGATGTGGAATGGGGCATTCATTCATGATTTTCATTGAAAGATATACTGCTTCTACTACAAAGACTGACAAACTTGTCTTTCTGCAACTCCATGCAATAGTAGTGTGTATTGTATTTTGTCGTAGGATTGTTTGTTCTAAAGAAGGGGATGTATTTTTATTTTACCCATGGTGTTATGTTTTTGATTTCTTCTTCAACAGCTACAACTATGGAGGATACAGTGGGGGTGACAGTGCCTACGGTGGACAGGCACAGAGTGGATATGGACAAGCTCAAGGAGTGAGTACATTTTTGTTTTTGCTCAGAATTTATCTTTTTACTGTCGTCAAATAGAAATTTTTGTTTTTGCTCATTTTTTTATTTTCTCTCTCGTCAGACACGGTGGGTGATCTCAGATAAAAGGTTCTTGGGCAAACTGGTTTTACAGAGGAATTTTTTGGGGTGCTGTTGACCTTTAGCTGGACAGGTGGTGGGGGTGTGTGTGTGGTTATGCACTGCACTGTTACTGTGTGAAGGAAATAGACAAGATTCCTGTACCAATGAAAAAAAATTAAAGTGGCTCTCTTATTTACTGAAAAAAGTACTTCTGTTGAGGCTAAGAACACAGCGCACTATGCTCAAACATCACACACACAAATGTAGTTGTGGTTGTAGTCACCTAACTGTCAGTGTGGGGAAGTGGACCAGATTGTGGAACACGTCCTCCGACAGTGCAGGACACAGAGCCCGAAGACACAGACGTTGATATTGACTTGATTGACACTTGGGGAGAAGTTGTACGAGCAATTACAGAACCAAGGCAGGCCAGACCAGTAGACGATAAGATTCCCGTTTTCAAGTGCTTTATGTGATTGAGAAGACTGGTTTTTCCGAATCAGCAATACTCTAACATACATTTTTTTTTCGTGTGTCATGTTTCGGAGATACTGTCGTGTACCCGTCTTTTACTGGAGTTACATTCCTCAAGACACTAGCTGTCCTTTCTGTGTTGATTGGTATGTCTCCCTCTTGAACGATCAATGGCTGTCCTTTCTGTGTTGATTGGTACGTCTCCCACTGGAATGACCAACGCTTGTTCTTCTCTTCCATCAGGCAGGCTACGACCAGCAGCAACAGCAACAACAACCTGCGTCCTACGGAAGCTATGACCAGAGTGCTGCGTACGGTGGAAGCTCTGCCCAGCCAGCTCAGCAAGGTCAATATGGGGGGCAGGGTGAGTCCTAGTGTTG